CATTGGGCATGTGTGACCAGAATCCAGGCCTCCTACAGCTGACTGAGTGTGTCCTATCTGCACCTCAGACTGCCCTTCGAGCTGGGAATTCTCACCCATTTCAGAGATGGGCAAACTGAGGCTCAGTCAGGTTAAGAACATGTGGAGGGTCCCTTCACACCGGCCTGCTCCTGGGAGCAGACTGTTTACCTGGGGACTGGCAAAGGTTGGCTCTTTCTCTGCTTCAAGGGCAAGGGGCCTGCATTTTCTCTCCAGAAGCCCCTGGATCTGAGGTGGCCCAGGGTCCTGCCCCTGCAGACACTGCAAACACTGGGCCAACTGGAGGTTGGTTCCCACCTGCCACAGAGTCCATGCGCCCCCACCCCTCTCATCTATAAAAGAGGGCCACCCAGGTGTCTTTGGGTCTAGGTGTGGGCAGGACCAGTCCTCCTGGGGGGCAAGGGTCCCTGGCACATCATCCCCGAGGCCGTGTCATGGTGGGAACATCAAATACTGACACACCAGTTAAGCAAGTGCAGCTGAGAAGAGGCTGGGAGGACGATTTGCTAGCGGGTCCCAGATTAGAGTAGAGGAATGGGGTAGGGGCAGGACGAAGGCAGAATTTCCCCTGGTCATACTCCCGGGGCAGCTCGCCCTCTGGAGCGCGGGGCCGGATGTAGCTGAGCACAGCGGACGGATTCAGTGCGGTCAATGCGGGGCCCCCATGGCGCGCCCTGGCCCAGACCGCCTGGCCGACCCACCCACATGGCTTCCCGGCTCCCGGGCAGGCTGCTCTAGGCTGGTCCATAACCAAAGCACATGGCACTCGATATGACGCCCAGAGGGACGGAATGCTTAAAACCAAGACGGGTTTCTTGACTGATAAATAGGAAGAGCTTGCAGGGCTGGAGGTGGCAGAAAAGGAGATTACCACCTTAGCCCAGAACATTCCCTGGGAGTCAGACCTGTCCCCCTGCCTCAGCTTCATCCCGGACAAACCCAGGTGACAGAAGCCACTTTCAGCTTTGGAATAAAAGGGCTGTGTCTCCCATCTCCTGCCTTCTCCTCCCTCAGCCCGGTCTCCGCTGACCCAGCTGAATGTGTCCCGTGTATTCTGAGCGGGGCTGACTCCTCAAGGAGAGAGCAGGCCTGGCTGGGGAACAGGGAGGGGCGAGAGCAAGGGACCTGAGCTCCAGTCTCTTGTGAGTCCCTAGAATGTGGCGTTAGTGTTAAAACACTGAGACTGCAAACAAAAAATAACAATAAACAGAATGACCAACAAAAAAGTGCAAACATCTGGGGGGTGAAAGAAAATTCCACTGGTTAAGCGTTAGGCCAGCGGGCTAGTCTGCTCTCATTGGCCAGCCGTGTGACTCTTGTCCCCGTTGGGCCTGAGTGTCCTGGACTATAGAACATCAACCTTGTCGGGCTCTCATAGTCCCGAGTCTGGTTCTGAGAACTGGGGCGGAAGAGCTGAGTCTGCTCATCTGAGCAACGCGGCTGGAGGCTCCGCATCCTTCGTGCCAGCTCCCCTTCGCCTCCCGCCCCGAGGTCGCAGGCCTCCGAGGCTCCGGCCACGTCACCCAGCAGACACAGTCTCGGGGGCGCGGAGGCTGCAGCCAGCAGCAGAGAACCCAGGACTGACTGGCCAGTGACTCTTTCAGGACCAGTCTTTTCTTCTCCTTAAGCCCCTTGGTGTGTTTTGTGTGTCAGACTCTTCATCTCATTTTATTACAAGACTACAGTCAGTCCTCCTAGCTTGTGACACAAATGCTCAGAGTATAAACAGCATGATGATAGACATAGAGCATGCAGGTTTTCAGGCACAGATGCCTTTATTGGTGGATTTTCTCAAGCACTTAACTTGACATGATCTTGCTAGTGAAATGAAGGACGCTAGGATCATTCCCCGACTCCTTTCATGAGGCTAGCATTACCTGACATTATAACCTTACAAAATCATAATTCTCTTAAACCCCAGGCCAATGTCCTTCAGGAAAGTAGAAGCAAAAATTCCCATAATATTCTGGAAAATAGAACTCAGCTCTAAGAATAAAACATTATAAGCAGGCGTGTAAAATCTATGTTTTTACTTAGTGGACTGCTGCTGACATAGGATGAAGGCAAATCCATGCGGTAAAGCTGCTGCCTTTGGGACATTTTTAGAACTTTCTTTTTGGAATTGCCCGCAGACCCTTTGCATATTTAAATAAAATAGATCCTCAGTGGTGACCAATTGGGAGTTGATTTGGTATTTGGAACTGAAGCCAAATCTGAGGACTGAAGTGCTCAGAGTGCTTAATACCATTTCTGGTCAAGCTGACAACGCAAAAATGGGACTGGTTTTCTTAGAGGGCCCCTAAAACGGCGCTAACGACACTCGTATTTTTAAAAAATTTTAGAGGTCCAAACGGCAGACTGGTGAAGTCCTCCAGTTTAGCGACCAGCGCCTGCATCCGATCTATCTGCAGACCTCTGTGCTTCTCCCACCTGGACTGCGCCGCCGGCTCCCCGGCGCGTCCCCCACCACCCCGCGCCCCGCTCCCCCTCCCCGCGCCCCTGGACTCCGGCTGACTGATGAAGTAAGGCGTCTGCAGGAGCCGGTCCTTCCGCAGACGGCCACGCCCTGCTCCTCGCCCCCGCCCTGCACCCCGTTTTCACCGGGGGGAACTGACCTCGGCCTGGCTCAGTCGCGCCGTCCATGGGAAAATCCCACGGACGCGGGATGACTCTCCCGCCGTCTCCCCGTTCCCCCCCCCACCCCGCCCTCCTTCCCCTGGTCCCGAGCCCGCTCGGTTTGGCCGTCCTCACGGATGCGCGCCTGGCTCGGGCATCCGCCTTCCTCCCCATCCCCCCACGTCCGCCCCCCCCCCCCCCGCCAAATCCCCGTGAGCGGGCCGCTCTGCGCGGTTCCCAGAGCCTTTCCCGAACAGAGAGGAGCCAGGACGTGCCCCAGCAGCTGCCCGACGTGAGTCATGTCTGAAGTCCCGCCAGCAGAGAGGGAGCAGGAGGGCTGGGCCTTGGGGTGCGGGAAAGGGAGGAATTTTCACGGGTTGTCAGGAAACAGGCACAGGGAGGCCTGGGCTGACTCGGGAGGGCACCGGGAGACTGCGGCGGTGGACTGAGCTGTTGGACCAGAAGAAGCGCTCAACGCGGCCACGTGGAGGTTCTCCTACCACCCCCTCAGCGAAACCCCTCGGAAAGTGTTCCTTTGCAGGTCTCGGTTACAAACGTCCCCGTGTGATAACCCCTTGCTGCCAGTTTGATGACACTTCACAGTTAAGGTGGCACATCAGCCCTGAGGGAGGGTACACAGAGAAAACACTGACACCCAGGGAAGCTAAGAGGCCGATCCAAAGTCGCAGAACCACAGAGCAGCATACCCAGGGCTAGAACCCGAGCTTTCCGAGTTCTGAGTTAGCAGCACAGCACGTCACACCTGCAGCGTCAGCACGATTACTCATTCTGACTGCTGGCCCGGGCCAGGGACCTGCCCCCCGGGGTCTCCTAATCCTTTTCACGGCATCACTAAGTCACGTTCTCAGATTCTGTCTAGTCATCAGTCCTGATCAACCAGCCTGCTGCACGGAGGGTATCAGTTAACATCACGAATCAGGGGGAAAGAGCAGGGTGGGATGAATCTGCAGCAAACCTGGTTACTTCTTCCTTTCAGTCCCTGACCGTGACATGCAAGACAGACAAACCCTCCAAAATTAGCCCCAAGGACTGAGGAAGGAACCCAGGAGATGACAAGGAACACAGAACTCAGAAACCACCGTCTCTCTCTTTCCCTGACGATCGGGGTGACGTCTATGACCAAGGCCGACTCAAAGCAAAAGCTGCTGAAATCTGAGCCCCGAGTCCTGTGGAGAAGCACCCTTTATCCCCAATTGCACAGGCCTTCTCCCAAAAGAATTCCCAGAACAACACAGGCTAATGTTGAAATTAGCAAAAATGAAGTCATAGAATTGGGTGACTGGAAGGAAACTCGGGTGTCACCGAGCCCAACACCCCTGAGCTCAGAGTAGAAGAAGACCCCTGCTCGGGCTTCTGTGGTTGAATCAAGCACCCACCCCAGCACCTGGCGCAGAGCTAGGGCTAAAGCAGCGTTTGCTCAGTAAGGGATGTGAGCACGGGAGTTGAAATCGCGCAGAAAGACAGTGACGGGCCCAGAATGAAACGATCCAGCAGAATCTCCACTAGTGCTAATTAAAAAAAATTCTTTCAAACGCTTCTAGTCAGGTTTTTCCCCACATTATTTCATTTAGTCCTGACCCCAACCCCAAGAGGCAGACTTTATGCCCATTTTACCCTGGGGAGACTGAGGTCGGGAGCTAGAAGTGTCTCACCCAAGGTCACACGCTCCGTGAGTAACAGACCTGGAATGCGAACGCGGGTTTGTTCGACCTGCAGACTCAGGCAACGTTCCGCCCCAGCGCACAGCCTCTCACTCAAGAGCTGCGAAGGCGGACGCGCCCTCCCGTCCTCTGGGGACCTCCAGAGCCCCCTCCCTGGGCAGCAGCACATACTGAGGAGAGGGGTCCCTTCAGGATTTTCCTAGAAACATCTAAATTAATCCACGGCTGGACTGCAAGAATCCAGACTTCTTTCCCATCCATGATCAAATCAGGCATATTAGGAAATGGACTTTAAAAGAAATGTTGTTTTCTTTATGCTTTTTCTAAAGTGTTTGCATTTGAGACATTCCCAAATAGCCAGCCTGCCCAGACAGGAGCTGCAGGGAGAGGCCGAGCGCACAGACCCGGTCAGAGCCGGGGCCTCACCTCGCGGACCCGTCCTGCCCGCATCACTTTCTCCGTGACCGCGCAGGCTTTCCCCTCACAGACCCTGCGCCACCCCTGGCCTCCCGGGAAGCAGCCCCTTACCGGGTAGCCCCAGGAGCCGGTCCCCGCTTGGAACTTGGAGTAGTAGCTGCTCCGTCCGGTGGTCCCGTAGCCGCTGTAACTGTCGGCCAAGCCGTCGTACATGGAACCTGCGGGACAGAGGCAGGTGTCAGGACAGTGCTGGCTATGCTCCTCGCCCAGCCTCCTCCCCACGGCATCCCCTCAGCAGCCCCAGAGGAGACCAGGTCCGAGCCCGCGGAGGAGGAGGAGGACGGAGAGTCAGCCTCCGTGAGCTGTCTACCTCTGCACTCGGCCTCTCCCACACCCAGGGCCGAGGGCAGGGCTCCTACAGAGGCCGCAGGGTCAGCCCTGAGGGTCCCGGCGGACCCCTTCCTGAGGGTCTGCCCCTACTGCCGGGGCTGGGTGGACACCTACAGGAGATGAGCTGGTCCGGAGGGCCTCGGAGCACCGCCGGCCCCCTCCAGGGAACCACAACTCCGCACTCCACTAGGAGAAGCGTCCCACTCGGGGAAGATGGGCAGGATCTCAACATGCCAGGTCCAGAGCCTCGAGGTCAGGGCCACAGGACAGCTCCGGAGGGTGAGAAGGCCACGCAAAGCAGTGGTTCTCTGCTTCTAAACCCCAGCCCGGCCCCCAGTTGTGACGAGGGGGCCCTCCGCCCCCTTCATCTCCCAGGTGCCCCCACTGCCCACGGGGGAGCAGCCACCAACCTCAAAGGCCCAGCGAGGATTAATTACTGTTCTCCAAGAGCTTGCAGCCCACAAATGACAGGCTCCATGGGAGGACGGAGTGTCATTACGATTATTAGGGGCAAGGTGGCTTCGGATCACGGGAAGCAGCCTGGACGTGGGGCTCCTGCCCCAGGAGGGCAGCGCCAGCTCTGCGGGGCTGGGCTGCCTGCCGTCCTGTGGCCCTCGAGATGTGGCTGACAGTGCCCTGCCAGGCTTTGCTTGCTCCGTGTCCCGCCGAGTCTGCCTTCTGTCTGGCCTTGGCCGCAGCCATCAAATCTCACTCACCATTCAAAGCCTGGCTCAAAACCTCTGCGCCTGAAAGGCAGTCTCTCCTACCTCTGAACACATGCTGTCCTGCTGTCTGAACCCCAGAGCACATCCTGCCTGGTGTCCCATCTCCCAGGCAGAGAGTTGCATGAGGGGCAAGCCATGGCTCTAGGGCATGGGTGTCCAGAGCAAGGACAGCCCCTCACTCTTATTAAATGATGGCCCCTGGGGAAAGTCGGGCCGGGAGAGTGGTCCAACTCCAGCATTGGGGGAAGGGTCTGACCTGATCCCACCTGGCTCCCTGAGCCCCTCCCCATCAGACGTGTCCCCTCAGGCTCCTAAGCCTTGGGGGTGGGGGCTGGAGTGCTTGAGCTGGGAGTAGAAGGCATAGCAGGGGGGCAGCTTTGGATGGTGGCAGGACACCTTCTCCACCCAAAGCCAGATGACCTCCCCAACAGCTCATAGGAGGGGCCACTGCCCTGATTCCCCATGCCCCCTTCCCCATGGTGGAGGATATCCTGGCCACTAGGTCTAACGGCTGTGGCGGAGACCACCTGCCCTGGGAGCCCAGAGGTGCTGGAATTGGTCCTGGCTCTGGGCCCGGGCTTCCTCTGCTATAAAAAGAAGAGGTGGCTTCTCTGTACCCCACGGTTCTGTGGTTGTGTGACCACAGAGGCACGTGTCTGACAACGTCCAGAGAAGCCCAACCTCTCATCTCAAGAGACAGGGTTCAGCTTGCAAGGAAGAAGTCCG